TTTTTTTTTCTGGTTTTGATTTTTAGATAATTTAAGCATATAATTACTTTAAGGCTTTAGAAGTTGTCATAGTTTGCTAAAGATCTAGGGATGTGGATTAGGCCATATGTATTAAAGATGTGTAAACCATACAAATCATAGGCTTCATTTAGTCAGTCATAAATCCTCCTTTCTTGTGCCTCATGCGTTTCTTTGTGTTCATCACCTCCTGTTGTGTGTTCTCATTAAAAGTGGGCAAGGGAATAAATGCACACTTTTACTGGTTCCTCCGAGAAGTGCGAGGCTTTCGGATAGTCCATTCGAAGACTGACAGATATGCAGAGATATAACTCACTGGGCAAGCTTACATTCCAAATGCAGGGTTGAGACATCCCAGTAGAAGCTTCTTGGAGAAAGAGCTACATTTTTTAAGGATCTTGAGCATAATCCAGAACAATATGAACATTGCGAAAATAATTTTATAAGACACTAATTCATCTTTAGTGAAATTTGAAATCTATTCCCAATATTCATGTCTTTTTAAAAAGGATGCCTAACCTACATTGTTACTTTCATAGTGGAGAATATTTTATAGGCAGATATATAGTTTCTATATAAGTATTTGAAAAATTATACTGACAGTCTTTTCAAAATAAATTTAAATCGATATTTTATTTTGCAATGCTAATTGGTCTAACTGTTGTTAAAAGAGGTTTTTTGTGATTTGTACTTTTATTTGTCTGTGAGTGGAATGTTTTGTATGGATAAAGACTTCAAAGGAAAAATAAATAAATAAATGATGGAGATCTAAGGCCTTAGGAAGCGGAACTCTATAGTTTCTATAATGGATCTCTGCTTCAGCCTATCTCCTCCAAACCTTCTGCCTCAGTTAACAAGGTAATATATAGTTGGCAACAGCATCTGAAATACAATCCTCTGTGACCAAAAATTGGCCAAAATTCTGCGAAATATTTATTTTAGTTGTGACCTTCCTAGTGCTTTATGTTAACGGCACTAATATTTTTCTATCTTAAATAGAAACAACTCACCTGATAGATTAGAAAGCATTTACACTGGCTCCTAACACCAGTGGTTTACAAGCAATAAGTTCATTTCCTCATCCCGTATCAGTTCTAAATGATGAACAGTAAAAAGTAAAACAGTAAAAGCCTAAATAATAAAACACTCTTGTTAGCTTGCATTTTATACAACTAAATTTAATTTTACATCTTATATTCTTGTCCTCAAATTCAACTGCTTCTTCCCAGTTGATAAACCAATCTTGCTCCAAACCTTCTGCCTCAGTTAACAAGGTAATATATAGATGGCAACAGCATCTGAAATACAATCCTCTGTGACCAAATACAGTAGCTGCTTGACAGTAATTGCAAGAAGGGAAGGATACTATTGACTGCATAAATGAGGAAAGCCACTTGTACTGAACAAACTTGAGAGTTCGGAATTCTCCTTTTGCAGGACTGGAATGACCATCTGAAAAAAAATCTTTCAAAATGTGCATGGCATTTTAACCAAATACATATATATATATATGTATTTGGTTATATATATATATATATATATATTTATATTTATATATTTATATTTATTTTATTTATATCTCTCTGAAGAGAGATAGCATTTAAATATATATATATATATATATATATCTCTTCAGCCTTCATTTTTCTGGATTGTTCTTCTGTTGCTCTTGTAAGCTTGTGAATTTGATATTCTTAAGCATGGTTGGCCAAAATTCTGCGATATATTTATTTTAGTTGTGACCTTCCTAGTGCTTTATGTTAACGGCACTAATATTTTTCTATCTTAAATAGAAACAACTCACCTGATAGATTAGAAAGCATTTACACTGGCTCCTAACACCAGTGGTTTACAAGCAATAAGTTCATTTCCTCATCCCCTATCAGTTCTAAATGATGAACAGTAAAAAGTAAAACAGTAAAAGCCTAAATAAGAAAACACTCTTGTTAGCTTGCATTTTATACAACTAAATTTAATTTTACATCTTATATTCTTGTCCTCAAATTCAACTGCTTCTTCCCAGTTGATAAACCAATCTTGCTCTATAGAGGTGTGTGTGTGTGTGTGTATACACACACCAGAATATGTTGTCTAATTCCCTCTTTTTGTTTTTGAATTTTATTTTAGATAGTGACAGACACTGCTTCGGTGGAACGTTTACTGGGAAAAGCTGATGTTCAACGGCCACAAGTAGTAGAATATTGCGTGGTCTGTGGAGATAAAGCATCGGGTAAGGAACTTGATGCAAGAAACTTGATTAAAATGATGGCTGGGATGAAGGGAAGAGGTTAGCTGATGTTAGCCATGTATAAGTGAAAAATTACTTAAACCCTGAACCTTTATGTTCTTAAAATCTAACATGTATAGCCTTTGTATAATTTATATCCTATAATCTGTAACAGCAGATGGAATTGCATCTTTACTTGGACAGAATTGGAACTACCACTTCGTAGACCTTTTATTGAAAAATAGATTTATTCTTCCTCTTCTCTTCTTTCACCCTCCTTCCTCCCAACCCAACCCCCTGTCAAAACCCCTGACAATAGGTAAACAAGAAACATCCTGTAAGACTTTAATAATGCTTTCTCAGTTCAAAATCATGACAAGAATACAGAACAAGTTTACATGAAGACTGTTGCCATATGTTTTACTTGCTTAAGATAAATATTTTGATGTTAAAATGTGTTTGTCATTTGATAACGTAATATATATGTTTCCATATAGGTCGTCACTATGGTGCTGTCAGTTGTGAGGGATGCAAAGGTTTCTTTAAAAGGAGTGTAAGGAAGAATTTGACCTACAGTTGTCGTAGCAACCAGGACTGTATCATCAATAAACACCATCGGAATCGCTGCCAATTTTGTAGGCTTAAGAAATGCCTAGAGATGGGCATGAAAATGGAATGTGAGTGTTGATACCCGATGTGAGACTGTGTCTACCAAGTAATAACTATGTGAACTACCACTGCTTTTTAGTGTCCTTTAGATTGTTTCCATTTCAGTGTATGTTGCTTACAGATTAAGAGAAGCAGAACTTCAGTAGCCAAAGAATCCAACTTACCTTTCACTCATCACCCTTTTGTGTCTGAGGTGCAGCGCTGATTTGTTTTGAGCTATGTATTACACTACAGTAATACGTGGGGAGCCTAATACTTAAAATACATGTTACAAATATGGGATATGTTTGTAATACAACATATTTTAACAAGGAGAGACATAAAGATGAGTTTAGTTTTCTGTGTTTAGAATTTGCTTTCCTTCTGACTTTTCACTCCTTTTTCTTCTCTAGTGATAGAAAGTGTTTGACATCCTTTGTCAGAGGATGAACAGAATTTTATTATAAGAGGCTTTGCATAAACCATCATATATTAAACAGTATACTTCTATCTTTGTATGCAGTGCTTCTTAGAGTTCCAGTGCTACGATCCAAACACATCTTCCAAAGTATTTTTGCTCTGATTTATAGCACCCTCTGCTTCTCTAGTACAGGACCTGGTTGTTGCGTGATAAATTTAAGGAGAATCTAAGATGAAGCAATAAATATTTTTCTTTTTCCGCTCCAATATAGAGAAGATGTATAGTACTGTTCCAAAGGAGGCAGAAATTTAAGCTGTAATTACACAGTTCTTTGTTTCATTTTCCTTTTGAACTCTAGACTTGTAGTGATCTGACTGTTGTGCTTCCACATATTATGTTGAGCATAAATGATGTCATTTGTGCAGGAGAAACTGTTCCATTTCTGGAGGTTCAGCTGGTTTTAGTTGAAGATTAGTATGATACATGCTAGTACATGCTAGCTGACTTTACTGGGCATTGGATCAGGTTTCTAATTAATATTGCTGTATACACCAAGCCAAGAAAATTGCGTATACTTTGTTATTGATCCCCTAAATTCTGTTGCTTCGATTTAAAAGTATTAGCAAAAACCAATCAAGAAGTAAAGCTTTGCTGGTTATGAGGATAGAGAAACATAGACATATATCTTACTATTTCATTCAGAAGTACTATATGGTAAGATCTGATTTTTTTTTTTGTTTGTTTCTTAGATAACAGTAGATTGGGTCTCCTCTAGAGCTGCTAACCATTGTATGATTAATTGCTGTAATGAATAACACAGTAATAGTCCTGCAATTATATATTGTCTTACATTTGCAAAGCATTGTGGGAATTAATATTTTTTCAACACTTAAAAAGTTACTTGTATTATCCTCTTATTTTTATTACCCTCATTTTCAGGAGAAAAGAATGAGGGAGTTGAATAGTATGCCAAATCGCACACGAGTTCCATGCAGTTCAGTGACTAGATTCCAGATTATATTATAATCTAATATTAGAACAATACACTTTCCACTCCCTTTGAAATTTCAAAGGCACTGTTTCTTACTATTTTTATTTAAAAGTTTACCACACTTGTTTGGCATGTTGGAGACTAAGCTTATTTTCTTCAAGTTTTCAAGTGGAGATAATTTCCACTTTTGCAGTGAACTAACTCATCACCACAGTTGCATAAGCTGAAATCCTACTATGAGAATTTTACCTGTTTGTTTTTTTT